GTGCGCGTGCTGATGAGCCGAGGGCAAGGCTGCAAAACAACCTCTCCTCTTTATCTCATAACGTCTTTGTATAGTGAAGCAAAAGGTGTGGCTCGTGCAATCGGAACGATCGTGCTCTCTGTATGTGTACGCGAGCGTGCACGTGCATAAGTCATGACAGCCTTCCTGACTGTCTACCACTCAGCCTGTCATTGAGTAACCCACACGCCCTCTCTGTCACTAACTTTGATGGCTTATCTTACCTCCCGAATTAGAGTCGTGCTCCCGGGGGAAATACCTCACCACATGTAAATGGATTTGAACGAGTACGAAATAAGAGAAGGAATAATAGAGTAAACAGATGGAGGGAGACGCACAGGAAACCTCACCCCCCGGCCGCCCCTTCTTTTCTTTTCTTTTCTTTTCTTCTTCTTCCTCTTCGACTTCAACTGTTTTCATCTGCGTCATTGTTTCTCAACAATCTTCTCCTCCTTCCCATCTCGGCCAGGAGAGAAGGCCAATCCACACTTAATGCCATTCTGGAGGCAGATCTTTTGATCCGTACGCGTGGCATTTAACACCTGAGAGCAGATGAGCGCCCGGCTCTCGGAATAAAGCAAGAGGTTACGACTCCAACTTTGAGAGTGAAGATGTGAAATTGAGGTTTGGGGATGCATGAGGCTGGACTCGGGGCCCGGCCGTGTTGTGGTTTCCATGGCTGCTCGGGGTCTGGGGGGGGGTGGATGGTGTTTGTCAGTGAGGGCGCGTCTCCCGCCTCTGGGCACCCTGCCCTTTAGACGCGGCGGGCCTCAGGAGCCTCCTGCATGCCAAACAGACCTGTGCACCCAGACGCAGCCACGGAGGAGCGAGGGAGAGGAGGGAGGGGAGAGGAACGTGCGGTGGAGTCCAGAAAGCGAAGGGGCTCCAGGGTGAAAGGGTAGAAGAGGATCTGAGAGGGGAGAGGGGGAGGGGGGGTGATGGTCACACTGCAGCAGCCATCCGGTCGCACCCTGCGTTTGGAGCGAAACCGCGCCGAAACGCCCCGGGGAATGAGTGAAGGAGAGGCCGGAGGAGGCAAAAAGGAGAGGCGAGGAAAGGAAGAGAGGGTGACTCCGAGGTGAGTCTCGACAGCAACGCCGCGTGTCGATGGCCGGGAGATATCACAGACCTTCGCCCCGTCCTAGTCACAGATAGTTATCACAGACAAAGCCCCGCCATCACAACATTCCCACACACACACACACACACACACACGCAACAACCACATGCTGCTCCACTCAGCTCATATACATGCATGCTCATGAACAGCTCATTATAAGAATTATGCATGTATGGCGAGCGCAGTTTGCACATCTTTTGACTCTCACTGGTGGGAGAATAACTACTGACTCTGACAGCCTTTACACATTATATTCGGGATGTTTGCATAATGTAGAAAAATGTGACTGCCTCTTCTGGGGCAATGATGAAGACAGAGTACATTCTGTGTGAAATAAAAAGTGTCTTTCTTGTTTTTTAGAAGACGGCGTGGCATCTTCTTTATATTTCCCATTAAGGTATTTGTAGGTATTTAATCGAACATGTTTACTTCATAAACTCTTAAAGACTCACATCGTATATTATTTACTGATGGTGGAGACGCTCGAGCTATGTCTTAAAAAGCTTTTTGTGTAGTTTTACATTTTCTCATGTTTGGAGAACATTCCTATTTGTAACATGTACATTTGGTGGGTGGTCTTGGCAATAATAGCAGCTAGACCACAAACCAGTCAAAGGAAGGCAAATCAAACTAAATAGATAAGAGAAAAAGAGACATTTCACAGGGGGTCTGAAACTGCCTTCATGCCTAGGGAAATATATATTTTTATTTTTATTTTATTTTAGATAACAGAAATCCCTTACCTGAATAAACACAAGATGAAATCTCTGAACACTGAAAAATCCGAGGGGGGCTTGAATGTATCTGCTAGTCGGGATTTGGACAAATTGACCAGCCAATTTTAATTAAGAGCTCACATTTGACCTCTGTGCCTTCAATTAACGGTTATGTTTTCGCTTAATCTGCTGATGATTTTCTCTGTTATTTCCTCACTTACTGTTAAAAATATATGTGATTATTTTAATAGTTGCTTTGTCCATAGGGCATGAATAAAATCTTTGGGGAAAAACATTAGAATGTCGGAATCAAAAGTGAACTGAAGTGGTTAGACAAAAGCAAATTTAAAATATGTTTGAAATACGAGAGCCAAGAGAGATTGTGCTAATTTCATTCATTCTTTTTGTCTTAATGTGATTATCTCCAGATCAGGAGTTAATTATCTCATTATCCGAAGATAGTAACATTAGCTTGTAGGGATTTTTGATCAATTATGTATTTATCTTCAGAAAAACAAATTAACTGAATTGAATGTTACTTTATAATCTTCAGAAATGGAAACATTTCCTTACCAAGAAAAGATAAATGTGTTATTCTTAATAAAAACGTAGTTGTATATGTTACCGTAGGCAAGAATGGAGGTTCCCTCTAAACCAGTGGCTGTTGCAGTAGAAATTAAGAAGCCTCTCATCGTGATTGTTTTTGCGTGATAACGGATACATTCATGTTATGTCGAGATATAACAGCTTGTTTTATTGAGATAACGAGTTAATACGTTTTGTTAGTCCGGCCAAGTTAAGTAAATTGTCACCACAAACGGTGGGATCGCCTGAGGCGAAGCCTCGGCCTAAAGCATAACAGAGGTGGTTAAACTCTTATCTGTGCCCACAGACACTGTCTGTACATAAGAGCAGGCATTGAATGAACCGAGTGCAGCCAATGGAATTACTTATGCATTCCTTAAATGAAAGTTTTACATCCTCCCTGTTGTGACAACAAGGAACAATGAAATTAGGTGTTAACTAAGTGTTGTTTGAGAAACCAAAGTGTGTTTTCTCAAGATAACAGGTTACTGTATGGCCACGGCCTCAAGAAAGCAGAGGCAGATAGAGAAATGATTGAGAAATCAGATCAATTAATTAGTTATAACCCAAAGCCATTTTTGTTATTTTTAGATAACACAAAGATCAGGTCCTATCCAGATAAAGACATCACAATACTAGCCAAGACCATTTTCTGCCTCTGCACAGAACTGTGCTGTTCTACTAACTGAAATCAACATACTCAAGTAAATCATTAGTAGCCAAGTCGAACTAATAAAAGAATTAATGTAAAAATGTATGTTTCTTTTCTGCCTGTCATATCTTCTTCAGTTACCAGTTTTCTTGTTCGTAACAGTTTTAGCCACGATAATTCCTAAACAGAGCTGAATTAGCCACATTATTACTTGTTTTGTTTTTGTTGTTTTTTTACCAATCTATGACAAGCCAACAGTTAACACATTAGGTAATGTAGCCAAAGCTGTTTCTTAACAACGTGACACCAAACTCTGACATAAATTGGGTAGATTCTCAGCTGTCAATTTATCTGAAATGGGTGTGAAACAGCTGCTTTAAGAGCTTATGTTTGCATTTGAAAACACTAGAGGTGGGCACTTAACCTCTTATATTATATTGATTTGCAAGAATATTTTATTCTGATAGTTCCAATGTATCTTGAGCGCAATGCATCATAAACAGCATCTTTAACGTGTTCTGATGAATGCAGTATAAACCCATATTACCTTTTCTTGTGCACCTCATAGCATTTACAGAAATGCTGCACCTGCTTTGTTCAAATTCTACCATTTCTATATGCCTCCATCCCAAACACAATGGGGAAAATACTCCTGTGGAAAATATTTATTTGGTAAGGAGGGATTCTCACTGGAAAAGACTGAATTAAGCTTTGACTCAGTACAGATTTCCTCTGGCTTTATTACTATACTTACAGTCAGGTGTGTTGAAACTGATGCACCGAAAACTAAACAATATTGAACCCCATTTCCATACACAAACTTAATATAGCCTAACTTTTTACATCCACCAGACAGCTTGAAACTCAAAGGTTTGCACTTACAGTTTTGTACTATACAGTAATAACAACACAGGACAAAATATGTTGTCACAGAAAAAAAAACTGTGCAAAATATTTTCTGCTTGCAAAAGTTTAGCCTAGAACTCTAAAGACAAACATAAGCTGACAAAAGTGCCATAGTCATGATGAAACCAAATAAAAAAGTGTTTAAAAAAAAAAGCCCTCAGTGATTCGTGTTCAATTCAAACAAAACAAGACATTTTAACAAACACACTGTCTGCCCGTCCTCTCTGGCTCATGCAGTGCAAGCTTTTTATTCCGATATCTCAAGTAGTCGATCACACTTAACAGGCCAAATAAGATGATAAGACAAACAGTGTCCAACAGCGGGCCGAGAAGAGCCAATGCCTGCAGTGGCACAAAATAGGAATTTAAGAATGTAAAAATAAAAATGATAATGATGATGATGATGCAGAACAACTTAGCAGATGGACTGACGATGTGAGTGACAGCATGGAAAATCTTACCCCCCCGAAAAAGGGATTGTTCATGAAGAGAATCATTAAACCGGTGGATTATCTGCAGGTTTCAGTCTGTTCTCTGACCAGTTTTGAAAAAGGTCTAAAAGTCTTTCTTCACCTGAATAATTATCTTATAAAAGCAGATAATATACTTGCATCTTTTAACACACACGCACACACGCACACACACACAGACACACACACACACACACACAGCCGGCAAATTAACATGCCCGCTGCTTACGCACTCATAAAACTGAAACACAAACCCTGAGTCAGAGCGACACACTCGTACGCTCGCTCACACACACACACACACACACACACACACACACACACACACACACACACGGATTTCTGCTCTCCCTTCCTAGAATCTCTCTACTTGTTTTGCCCTTTGCCGTCGCTGTCCTCGCTGTCGTGTGCGCCGCGGTAGCCCCGGTGTTCGCGCCTCTCCCGGCACTCCCGGCACTCGCCCTCCTCGTCTCCCTCCTCGTCCTCGTGGATGATCTCCACCTCCAGCCGGCCGATGTAGAGCGATACGGCGCAGAGCCAGAAGAGGGCGACGCTGCCCACCACGGCTCCCTGGAGCAGCAGGGCTGGCACGGACAGCAGCATCAGCCTCCGCAGGGCGAAGAGGCTGCCCACGTACGAGGCGCCGCCAAACGACACGCACACACCTCCCAGGATGAAGAAGGCTGAGGGGAAAAAAACAGATTGGCGGGGTATTATTCTAAATACCTAATTAGTTTCCCCGCAACACGCCGAGCTTAAAGCGGGGAAGCAGAAAATTGGATCTATGTGTTCTCCCAATTAGTCAGATAAAAAATGGAAATGAAACGCCTTCTTGACTGGTTTCGTTTCAGCAACCTTAAAAATCACGCCGTGGTTGCAGCTGTGGCCGCAGTATAAACCTAACAATACATGAAGTTGGTCGATGGCTTCCAATCCCACATTAGAATCAATGATTTAAGATATCTACGCTCATTACCTGATTGAAGCTGGATTCATTTCTATTTTAAGATTAATTTTACCAGATGTTAATCAATGCCAATTCAATGATTTAAACTTCAGTTTAAGGGCAACATGGTTTCTGCAGTCTCCATGCTGCTGGTTGCAGATATGAAGGACCTTGACTCCATTTTGCTCAGTCGGTTGCAGAAATCCTTGTGAAATTATTCATTTCAAAGCTGCTGTATCAAAGCTAATGTCCAATACAAGGTTCTCCTTGAAATCGAATCATTTTTACATCAACATTTTCTATGATGTGAAATTGTTTCTTTTCTAAGGCAAACAGCTTTCTGTCATTGTTAGAAAATAACAAGCTTTAGTTAGGCCTACCCAATTATAAAAAAAAGATCTAAACCATATATTTGATTTAAAATAGCATAAATACAATATACTTTTTTTTTTGTTCTAGTTGATGAAAGATGCAAAACACACAACTTTGCATGCGTGTAAAACTACAAAGTGTGAATGACTAAGTTCTAAAGGTCGAATGCTTCTCCATTTCCTGCTTTTACACGAAGATAATACTGTAACACAGTGATTTTCTTCAGTTACCATATCCGGCCTCTCGTCCAACTTCGCTCTGGACAAATGCGATGACTCCGATCCCAGTTGCCAACAAGCCGTTCCTGAACCATGACAGGAATCCTGAACGAGAGAAGTCAGGCATAAATAGCAGACACCCCACAAACTGATCATAATGACCCAGATTTAATAAATGAACTGTAGCTACACACTAATTATTGGTCTTACTGCACCTTTTAGGAGACTTGAAATCGAATAAGTTTTACTAATGACAATAGCTAAATGAGGTCATTGGAACCGGTCTAATGTCACAATACACAGCCCATTAATGGCTGTGCAAACCCACAGAGCTGCTCTCCCACTGAGCAGGCCCCGGCCATCAGGTCAAAGTCCAGATCTCCAGAGAAGATTTGAATTAACAGGAAAGAGCCGAGCTGTGATTATAACCTGCCTCATTATCTGCTGTCTTCAGTTATAAAAGACCAGTAGACTCAGACAAAAACTAAATCATGTCACTAATTCCTAAGTATGGTAAGGAGATAGTCATCTTAATGAGTCCTCTAGTCTTTCAAAATAAGTTCAAGGTAAGTCAGATATGATGCTTGCAGGAACCATCCCATGGTGAAGTATTCCTGTCAGAGGGTGTTGATGAGTAAAGAGAAAGGAAATTAAATCAACAATCGTGAAAAAACTTGTAGAATTGTTGCTTTAAAACATTTGTTACAGATTTTCTCACATAAAAAAAAACTTGTTACCGCTGTGATCTATTCGACTCCATATGATTTAACACAATGAAGGGACTGTACAGGTTATACTGAATGTGAGTAGTTCCTGTTTCTGAACAGATGTGTCAACATCAAAAGTGTGGAATACCTGAATGTAGTTTGTAACTTAGTAATCTTGTGTAGTAATAACCAATTACTGGTAATTTGTCTAGAGCACCACAAATTAAACTGCCATACAAAAAAAAACAACCATTTGTATCCAGTAAAAAACAAAAACATGGCATAGCAGGTCCTCGTCATCTGAAGATCTGAACCATGAGCAGAACTGATCACTTTCAGCCCCAAACCCTCCACACCAAACCCACAGAGGATTTTAAAGCCTCTCATAAGAAGCTGTGAACTAACCTGTCTCATGAGATTTTCTCAGCATCTGCAAATATTAGGAGGGGGGGAAAAACACAATCTGTCAGCCACGAAACAAATACTGGCCTTCAGAGGAGAAACGAAAGTAAAACATTTTTGCTTTTAACGCGCAGCTTCTCTTCCAGGACCAAAAACCTACCAAAGCGTCTGCCTTGTCCAGGTCGGTCAGCTGGTAGTGCTGCGGCGGCTCCGGCCCGCGGCTCTTCCCCCACGGCCCCTTCTCCCCGACCCGCTGCCGGCCCGACCCGTGGAGCCTCCTCAGCCGGACCCCGGCGAACAGAGGCCGGCCGAGCCTCACCGCACGGGCGAAGTGGCTCACGGCCCGCGGCAGCTGCCCTCTAACCAACAAACTCAGAAAAGCCATCACATCACTAGTCCCACCTAGCTAAACGAGCGGAGCTTAAAAAAAAAAAAATGCAGAAACACAACACGACCCCGGCATGACCTATGAACTCTCACGTGATCAACGTGAACCCGGAAACGTCTAGGTGAAAAGTGGAGCAGGATTATCACAGCGCCGCCCGGAGCCAGAGCAGTCACACAGAAAACGCGTGATAATAGATGCAGTTTTAAAGGCAGCTTTTATAAAAAATCATTTTTAGCTTTTTCTTCTCCGTTTTAAAAAGAAATATAATCCCCCCGAAACTGCGGGGTTTTAATGTGGCGCTTATGTGCAACTATAAATCTACACCACATGAGGCCGACAGAGGGCAAAATGAGTCAAAACGTTGCCACATTTGTTAGAGTAAACCATCACCATTATTTTCAAATTGATAATATCATGTGAGAAATCATAGTATTGTCTGTAAAAAAAGTAAATGTAAGCCTAAAAAAACAAGCAAAAACAAACAAACAAGGATTGTGTTTGAACTGGCTTCTATTTGTTCATTTTAGAGTTGTACTGTTTCATTAAATTCATGTAACTTAGAAGTTGGTTTGCTCATATTAGACTTATGCTTTTGCACTGAACTCATATAACCTCCCTGGTTGTACTCTCAGGCTCCTCCTTACTCTGCGTTGCATTGGATACTTTTCAAGGGACAACACACACACACACATTTCTTATCACATTTCAGTGGAATCTGCACAACGAAGGAGCTGATCTGTTTATGTTTGAGACCTGGTTGCGTTACATCCAGACTTCTCACTGTGCGGGGCAGACCAGCACAGGAGGATAACTGTACATTAGACCAGGAAATCAGGTCCTCAGGTAACTGTGTCAGTCTGACCTCAGCGCTCATTAACTTACCCAGGCTCTGACCTAAATAAGTGACCCTTTTGTTCTATTAATATTTTTTCTGGTTTGCCCTCATGCTTCCAACGAAGCATATTTTCAATTTCCAAAGTTTTTTTGGGACCGCATGCACATTCTCTGCTTGTCTGAGGGGGTTCCTTCCAGGTACTCCGACTTCCTCACACAAAAAAATCTTGTTGATTGATAAGAAGAATTCTGAATAAAACAGGTCTTAGTGGATAATTGATGAGGATCATCGAGAGTTTGGAGGTGTTCCATAATGAATTTGAAATAAATGAAAGGTTATGATCAATATGTGCAAGAAGAAGAGGTGTACTTGTGATAATTAAAGTAATAACTTATTCATTATGGACTGCCTGAAACCTTCTAACACCATCCTCAATAATAAAAATAAATAATCTTGATAATCCATCTCATAAAAACCCCAGATGCGACCATTTAGTTTTTATGATGATGTTTTGGGTGCAAATTCCAAATAAGGTAACAGTTTTCTGCAGAAAAAGGTCCCAAAGAGACCAAAACAAATGCACAGACAAAGATGCTGCATTAGGGCGTGTGCGTTCCCACCGAATGTGTGTTGTTGTTGTGTGAATGTGTCCTTGTGAGAGAGGATTTCCAGCTCCACAAGCGCTTATGGAGGATGAGCGGCAGTCTCTTCCGGGTGGTCTTTTGTCTTCCTCATCCCAGTGGGACCCAGAGACACCACGCCTATCGTCCCAGCAGAGTTTCTGGTGCGTAGAACACAGTGAGCTGCACACATGGGATTTCGTGTTTGTATTTGTGTGTGTGTTAATGTGTGCGCTGTGAGGGCTTTTACAGTCCGCCAGGTCTTTGATGTGATGTTGCAGCTGACCCACTGGCCACTCTCACGCTACAGCTCCCAACACAATGGGAGATTGATGTTTGTGCATGCACATGCATCTAAAAAACACACCCACACGTGTTAACACATACAATGCTTTGCTCTTCAGTTGTTTTACTCGACGGGATATTGAAGGAAATGCTCATTTTATAGCTATACACAGGGGCTTCAGAAGCACATTTCTATCATGTTTGAAAAGAAGAAGGATCAGTTGATAGGTTTAATATTAAAGTTGATTCAAACTCCACTGATACACGACTGAAAACAGCCAAGTCTTCATATCAGCGCGAGGGGTTCCAACTAAAGGCTATAAAAGGAGAAGAAAATAAAAAATGTCCTTGATGTTTGGACAATAACTGTAACCCTGCAGCAGTAATGTATCACCATTATAAACACTTTGGATTAGTCCTGACCGGATCAGTCACATGTAAATGCCACTCATCGGGATCAGTCAGTTCACTCTGTCTACTGTAAAGAAGAGGGACTGCTTTCATTGACTGGTTCTAAATGAATAGCTTACACATGAGTGGACATTTTGAGTGACAAGCTCCCTTCACCATCAATGTGGTCTTAGGAGCTCAGATGAGAAAGAGCGTAAAGAAGCAGGGGGCTGATGAGCATTTAGTTACTCAGAATATTAGTTATCTAGGGGAACTCTTTAAGTGGCAAACCATCTGGCAAGAAGTGTTCCCTTTCCATTAGCAGGTACACAATATAAAAAATGACAAGCAACCAGTACTCCTCACCAATCATGTTATAATCATCCTGACACTTCTGAGTTTTCTTAACTTAGTTTTCCATCTATCCATCCACCTGGATATATTTTGTATTCTCACTTAATGCAGTTCAGAATCAGGGCTTGGGTTGGAACCTATCTCAGTTCTCCTTGTTTACCAGACAAACCTCTTACAGCCAAGAAAATATGAACATTTTTTACACCTAAATGCCTCTATTAAACATTCTAAACTCAAACGATTGACACATTCTAATTATAGTGCACGAAGAAGCGCTGGTGCAAACTAAAGGATCGATGTGGATGGATATGCTGTGCTGCACTGTACGAATTGAAAAAAATTAACAGATCCTAATTTGAGGAAATAATAAACTATCCAACTCTGATTCTGTGTTCTGTGTGGAAAACATTGACCTTGTTGTATTTCATTTTCACTATGGGGGACGCTCTAACAATACACAGCACAGAAAGAATAGTTTCATACAGAAAATCCTTCTGTATTTCTGAAAGCTAATTCAAGAGAGGCAAATGGAACTGCTGACCTTCTGACTTTCCCAGTTCATGCACTCACTGACCCCTGTCACTGTCAGTCCTCTCTGCTATCAGTCTCTTTACCTTCAACAAAGCTGCTTTGTTTTTTCTTTTCTAACTTCACAACATCAGGAAGAAACTCTATGCTTATTTAATGAAATACAGATCCTTTGAGGCATTTTACTTGTTTACATATGAGAGACACAATCACTTTTGAATTGTCTTATGAGACACTCTCTTTTGTCTTACTAATCCTCTCTCAGATTCCTCTCTTAGGGCCAGTTTGCATCACACATTGAGGACTATGATTATAAATTTCAGAAAACATCTTTCTACTTCCTTTCCCCAAACGCGCACTCCTATAACGCTCTCTCATGCCATATTTCCCTCACTTCGACTTGAATAAATAAGATAAAGGTCTCTTCGTGAAACCTGAGCGTTGCCATGTATTTTTAAAGTGCTGCTCATCTGATTGGCGTGGCCTTTGATTTGTGCTGCAGGCCTTACTCCTCCACATAAAAAGAACGTATAAAACATGTAGCAGTCTACTACTGAAAATTTAAAGTCACTTGTTAGGCTTGACACACACACACACACACACACACACTCATAAAACAACACTGTGAAAACTGTGAAAACATGCAAGTCCAGACAAAAATTGTTGAAAACCCATATTGGCCTTTTTAATGAGTTCAGACAGGATGAAAAAAAAGAAGAAAAGAAAGAAAAAAAAGGCTAACAACAATAAACAGAGCGAGCAGATCTACTTTTAGGCCTCAACTGTGTGTTAACTCTTTGTTATCTCTGCTTGACTCATGTCACATCAACAGAAAAGAGGAAATAGAGGGAGAGACTGATAGGGAGAAGGACAGAGGAGGAGATGTGTATACGTGCGGAGCTGCACTGGTCTGTGTTACATAGTCTGGGGGATTCCAGCCAGCTGCACAGGGAGCACTGACCTTGGCAAAGCGCACGCTGTTTTTTCAGTCCCCGGGACAAACAAGTGTTAGACGCAAGTGTCAGCTGGTGAGCGGACATGATTTACTGACATTAATGAACTAAGAGAGGTCATCGTTTAACATGGAGGTGCTCTGCCTTGCAAAAGAGAAGAATACATGCACGGTGCATGCGGTATTACGCACCAAAAGTGTTCCACCAGCACACAGATATGTTGTTTGACTTTCTAACTTTGCAATTCTGCTTTATACAAACAGTGCACTGCGTGTCGTGAAATCCCTTGCGCAGGATGTGAGATCGGAAACCTTCAGGATTATTTAATGTGGCAGGTGTGTGGAAATGTCTGCTTGCAAGCTTGTTTTTTCCTTTTGATGCCTGGAACCCAGGAGCCCTGATTTATTTCAAGGTGACTTTTGTCAGAGCAAAACCTCTCTGCCAACATTTGCGACTTTGTGCTTCTAAATGTGCTTTATATAATTTCCTGCGTCTGTAAGGGATCAAGTGTGTATTCATTCCTGTAAAAGAAGGTAAATACTTTTTGAGAATTTCTGGTTCTACCTGGAAGAAGAGCAGTGCACGGCAACGATTCGTCTCTCTCTCACTGTCAAATCAAAAGTGTAAATCCTCAATTATATCAATGTTATGGAAACACTGGCATCCCTCCTATAGGCATTGTGGCCTCTGGCCTGCTGGCATCGAAGTGACAAAAAATATAACATTGCACACTGAGTGGATCCTATGATTTGGAAAAGAGTCAAAACTGACACGGAAGTCTGTCCTTTGTCCCATTAGGCCCACTATCGCTTCTTATTTATTCACCCACAACAAAAGTTAACCTTTGGCCCTCCTAAAGAGGCTGATTCAGATCCCTGCTCATCTGATCATGTCTTGTTTTCTTTCCTTCTTTCCTTTTTTTTAAATCGACACCCATTATGTTACGACAAAAGCTAAACATATTGATGAGAAGCACTTCCTATCTATTAAAATTTCATTAAAATGTAAACTTTTTACCTTAATTTATAGGCATTTCAGCATGAAAATGTTTCCAAAACAAACTCTCTTAGACTAGAAAATTACTGGATGTAAGGCCAGTTCAAACACTGTTTTTATCATAAGTGAAAAAAAAGAAAAACCACAAACAATACTGGT